ATATATAGCATATATATATATATATATATATATATGAGTCTAGGTAGAATCAAATTAATTAAATCATTTTATATATTGATTTGAATTAATGAAATAAAACATCAAATGATTTTTAAATTTTTTTAAAATTTGCAAATTTGATCTATGCATTAAGAACTTTAAATTCAAAAGTTGGATCGTTGAAATTTGGTATAGAACATGAGTTATTGAACGGAATAAGTTTAGGTAAACTTACTCCTGGAGTAAACGGATCTTTCCTATATATATATATATATATTAAGTTTCAAGACAAACAAAGATACAATTACACAAATAATGACAGCCACATGGCAACAAAAAAGTGGATGTCTGCTACACAAATTCAGCAACATAGATGGTTTGTAACTTTCATTGATAATTGTACCCGTTTGACATGGACCTACCTATGAAGCATAGATTCAAAGTTTGTAGAATAGTCAGTTTTTTCTGTCTAGTCAAAAATCAGTTTGATAAGTCTATCAAAAGAATTTGGTCAGACAATGGAAGTGAATATGTTAATTTTGAATTTTCTAAGTTTGTTACAAAGCAAGGTATTATCTATGAATTAACGTGTGTTAATACTCCCTAAAAAAATGGGGTCGCAGAAAGAATAGTCACCTACGTGAGGTTGTCAGAGCTCTACTCTTTTAAATGCCTATCCCTAATGTTAACTAAGGAGAAGTTGTCCTAATTTCCACTTATCTCATTAACATGTTATCCATTCATGTTTTACAGGGTATTAGTCTAGTTGAACACATGTCGTCATTTTTCCCTTCTTCTCCCCTACTATTAAGTCTCTCATGTTGTGTGTTTGGATGTGTTGCATTTGTTCATTCTCACGGTCCTCATCATGGAAAGTTAGACCCAAAAGCTGTCAAATGTGTCTTCATTAAGTACCCCTCTAATGAAATGGTGTACAAGTGCTATCACCCTTAGAGTCATCATTTTTTTTTGTTTCAAAGGATGTCACATTTCATGAAACCGTACCCTTCTTTGTCGACCCTCAACTTCAGGGGGAGAATATTCTAAAAGTTGAGTTTGTCTTCGGATCATTACCTCTTCCTTCCTTGTAGGATGTCCAAGATACTAATCTTGAAGAAACACAAGAAGATCACAATGATGTAGAAGAATATCAATTCTTTGTAAAGAAACATGAAAGGCGAAAGAACCCACTCTGCTCCCACAACAAGTTGAATTGTCAAAACCAAAGGTAAATGTCCCTAAGGATGATAATGATGATGAGAAAGTTACAGACACTATGCCTATTGCCTCAAAGAAAGGGAAGAGATCATGTGTCAAGTATCCTATTTCTTAATTTGTTTATAGTGACTATCTCTTTATTTAGTATTGAAGCTTTATTGCAACCATTGATGCAATCAAAATACCTATGTCAGTCCAAGACGCTTTGACAAATAGAAATTGGATTAGAGCCATGAATGAGGAGATGGAGAAATTAGAGAGAAACTCAACTTGGAAGATTGTTGATAAACCCAAAGACAAGAAAGTTGAAGGGTGCAGATGGATATACACAATGAAGTGTAAATCTGATGGGACATTAGATCGATACAAGACAAGATTGGTGGCCAAGGGATTCACACAAACCTATGACATTGACTATGAGGAGACATTTGCTCTTATAGCAAAAATGAATACAGTAAGAATCATTCTCTCTCTAGCCGCCCACTTTGGTTGGGATCTACAACAATTTGATGTTAAGAACACCTTCTTCCATGGAAACCTGGAGGAGGAAGTCTATAGGGAGATTCCTCGACATTTGAATCAGGTGGAAAAAACAAAGTGTGTAGGTTGAAAAAGGATTTGTATAGCCTCAAACAATCTCCTCGAGTATGGTTTGGAAGATTTACTCAAACCATGAAATCCTTAGGATACAAACAAAATCAAGGTGATCATACTTTATTCATAAAACATTCTCCTTATGGAAAACTCACCCTTCTCCTAGTGTATGTAGATGATATGATTGTTGCAGGGGATGATAAGGTAGAGAAACTAATTCTAAAAGAAAAACTGACAACTCATTTTGAAATAAAGGAGTTGGAAAAACTTAAGTATTTGCTTGGTATAGAGGTTGCATACTCCAGAAAAAGGATATTTAATTCTCAAAGGATATATGTCCTTGATCTTTTGAAAGAGATAGGAAAATGGGGGTGCAAGACCACAAGAGTGTCCATCGAGCAAAATCACAGGATTGAAAGTGAAGAAAGTCTACTTGTAGAAAAGTCCTAATACCGGGGATTAGTAGGGAAGTTGTATATCTATCAAACACTAGGCCTGATATTGCCTATGTGGTTAGTTTGGTCAACCAATTTAGGCATGGCTCTCGTGAGAGACACATTCAGGCAGTTAAGAGGATTCTCTAGTATCTCAAAGCAAGTCCAGGGAAGGCATTATTATTTAAAAGAAAAGGTGCATTGTCCATCGAGATATACATTGATATTGACTATGCAGGGCCCGTCAGATAGAAGATCCATTTCCGGTTATTGCATGCTTTTTGGTGGGAATCTAGTAACATGGAGAAGCAAGAAAGAATGTAGTTGTTTGATCTAATGCAGAAGCCGACTTTCAAGCAATGACACATGGCATATGTGAAGGATTACAGATGAAAATTATTCTTGATGACCTTAAAGTTAAATACAGGGGTCCAATGAAGTTGTTTTGTGAAGACAATTCGAGTATCAACATTACTCATAACTCAATTCAACATGACAAAACGAAACATAGAGATTGATACACACTTCATTAAAGAGAAGTTGGATGATGGCCTTATAGTTATAGCTCATATACCTATAGGAGTTCAAGTAGCAAATGTCTTCAAAAAGGTCCTAGTGCTAGATTCCAAGATCTTATTGGCAAGTTGGGAATGATTGATATTCATTTACAAACTTGATGGGAGTATTGAAAATATCATAAATACTTCGAAGATCTAGAATATCTCTGAATATCTTTAGATAATGATTTCCTTATTTCTTTATTATTTTTATTTCCTTGTTTAAGCATAGTCATTTACTCTATAAATAGGTGTATTAGAGAATGTACAAAATACACAATTAATATATATTTCTTCTTTTCAACTCGACGTATACAAACCATAGATTTGTCACCAGCTTCAACTTGACGAGGTTATTGCATGTAGACTTCCTCTTCTAAAAGGCCATTTAGGAAGACATTATTAATAACAATTTGGCGAATGTGCAAACGTTATTAATTGCGTCAGAAAGAACAGTTCTGACAATGACATGTCTTAGAATTTGGGCTTAGGGGTTAACTCGATCTCACAAAACTGGCTGAAAACATACCGCACTTTATAAGTTTTGCTTATGTCATGTCTCTCGTTGATGTGAGACTAAACCGCCTAACAGCCGCATCTCGAAGGCTATACTATACAACACTTTAATTGGTCTCCATGTTAAGTGCCCCTTCGTAGGTAGCCCTTTTTGGCCTAGGGTGACTGCAATAAAGGCAAGTTTCCACACCCAGCCCTTGTAGTATCATGAGGTTATTACAATTTCTAAGTAGTTAACTTTCCTTCACAAATGGTTAATAGTATCACGAGGTTATTGAAATGTCTAATATTGGTTAATTGTGTTTGTTATGATTACCAGGAAGGGATAGTTAGATATTAGTTAGTTATAGTGAGTCAGTATTATAAATAAATAAGAGGATTAAAGAGGACAAAAGGGATTCACATATGTTCTTTTCTAAATTGAGCTTTAGCTCTTTGTGAAAAGAGAAATCCTTTGTGAAGGGGAACCCTTGGAGGAGAGTTATATCTCCTATTCTTTGTTCTTTGCAATCAATAAATAAAATTGTTAAGATAATTCTATAAGATATAGTTTAGATATACTAGTTTATCTTCTCCTATTTTCTAGTTTAGTTTCCTTAGTCAGTTTTATCTAAATCCCTAAACTTTAGGGATTAATTATGTTTTATGCCTATTTATTTTATTGTACCTATTCAGATTCAATAATAAGAAATTATTCATATTCAAGTTAGTATCAGAGCACTCTGGTCCAGGAACCCTAATCCAGCCGTCAACATCTAGGGTTTTTGACTTTTGTCAGCGGTTGTCGGAGTTGACACCGCCTGTATAATCAGAGGTCGCCGATCGACCTCTCCGTCGCGAGCCACCACCAGCCGCCATCTCACGCGCCCTCACGCGCGATTCTTGTTGAGGAAGCTTGCCGGCGCGTGGGGTTCACGCGCCGCCCTCCAAGCCTCCATTTGCGATGTGGTTCACTCCGTTGGACTCGTCGGCCCTCCCTCTTCTCGTTTTGACCATTTTCAGGTTGTGGGTCACACTCTAGGTGGTCTGTTGGTGGTCGTTTAGTTGCTGTCTCGGAGCTTCGTGGTCGTTTGGTTGCTATTTCGGAGTTTCGTGGTCGTTTGGTTATTGTCTCGGAGCTTCGTGGTCGTTTGGTTGCTGTTTCGGAGTTTCGTGGTCATTTGGTTGTTGTCTCGGAGTTTCGTGGTCGTTTGGTTGCTGACTCGAAGTTCCGTGGTTGATTGATTGTTTGCTGTTTCTGTGGTTTTTGATTGAGTTTTTCTTTTGTTGTTTTTCTCCTTTTTTCTCTTCATGGCTCCATCTCCAAACTCCGCTTTAGAGCTCAAGAATGAATCTGAGGGCAATCATCTAATCTCATTATCTACTGATGATTAAAAAGACTATCTTAAACTGA